GCTCGGAGAGAAAGCTGCACTCGCTCTGACCGAAGCCAGACAGTCCCGCTTCTCCCGTTTGAGTCTGGGTCCCTAAAGACTCGCCGGGATCTGGAGCTAAGAGTCTGCGACTCCCTCCCGATTGAAAACACCAACTGCGCACTCCGCACCTCAGAATTTGACTTCAGCACTGCGCCTCCTCTGAGTGTCCGTATGCGTTTCTCTTTTCTCCTAGTTGTAGGACTTCCACTCAGCCAGCGTTCCTGTGGTTCTGGGTGATGTCCGTTCCGTCTTTTAGTTTCACTTTTGAAGTAGTTGTTCAAGGCAGCAAACTCCGGCGTTAACCTATGCCGCCATCTTGGTTCTCCCCATTTGGATTTTAAAGTTACATTTTTTCCCAGAGATAATGATCTCAGTTTCTGATAATAGTCAGACTATTGAATAAACCTGTGCATTCAAGGAGGTTTCCTTTGGGAAGGGTGGAGGGGGATGGAGCAAGAAGGGGCTGAGGTCAGAGCACTTTTCAAAGCATTAAAGGGGTGAGGATGTTGGCCTGGGGATCTGTGGGCTCAGTGAGAGGGTCCCTTTGCCATGTCATGTCATAGAGGAGGTTTACAAGAAGACTACAGTTGTGAACCTGGAGGCAAGAGTACCCAGTGAGCCTGAGGAAGGAAAACATTTCTTGTTCAGAGGAGGGGACAGTCATGGAGGAGATAAGGAGATAAGGTATTCACAGCAAGACTGAGGTAAGCGACTGTGGTCTGGGACAACTGGGCCCCATAAGGGGACACATGGTAGTGGGGGATCAGCGTCCCCGTGAAGGGAGGGGGCCAGGAGCAGAAGGAGCAGGGAGGCTGAAGGGCTCTGAGCTGCAGAGTGGCCCTAGTTTGGTGAGAATATCTCGTCCTAAACAGGGGCACGGGGCATGAAGGCATGACTAAGAATGAGTGGGTTATAGGGCTATCATCAAGGAGGCAGGAAAGGGGTCCGGTGGTCAGCGGGCAGGTGGATTTGCCATCAATACCCATGACTGAGATCGTGGAAGGAAAAAGGGGCCCTGAAAAGGAGGGCAGGACAGAGAAGGCAGCCCCACATCGATCAGGAAGGAGACCCACTACCTTCAGCATAGCCCTGGGCTCGGGGAGGGTGGTGGGGGTCGTTGTATCGGGGCACCTTCAGTCTTCGGCCAGTCCCAGTATGGCCAGCGGCAGGTCTTGACCTGGAAGGGCGGCCCCTCCACGCTGGGGCACAGAGGGCCCACCACTTTTCCAGGGGCAGTCACTTTTCCAGTGGCAACTTTGACCACACGCTGGGCAGGGCTTGGTTGGACCCGGGCCGGGGGCACTGCTTTGCCCAGTGGCCTTCATTTCCGCATTTGAAGCATTCTCTGGATAGTGTACATCCTCTCGTTGCACTCCCACCGTGCACGGCCCCCTTGGGGCCATGACGGCTGCCGTCAGCCGCAGGGCTGCAACCAAGGCTTGAGTTTGCAGGTCTACCATCTGTCAAATGCGGGCCTCCCGATCTGACTCTGTTTTCTCTTCACAGGCATTAAAATCTTAAAGGCCATGTTCACTAGATCTCAGACCAGGGTCTGAGGGCCATCCTCAAGGTCAGTGGGGGAAAAAACCTGAGATGCCTCTCAATCTGTGAGGCTGGACGTAGACAATGAGGCGTAGACTCAGACTATGCCCTCAGTTCCTGCTGCCTCCCTCAGGGGTAGAATGGGCACAGAAATAGAAGAGGCTGTTGAGGAAGGCAGTCTTTGGGTGGCCTGAGAATGAGAAAGGCTGTTTTGGAGCTCACGTTCTCAGGATTTGGGCTCTTAAGGATAGGGGAGAAGGCGGCTGCTGATTAAGAGGGTCTGAAGAGAAAGAGCCAAGGAGTTTTTCAATTTGAGGAAGATCAGAAAGTGAGAGAGAATGGCTACCCAGATATATCCTTCCCAGCTGCAACCTCTCACAAAGGGAACTGGCCAGCCGCCTATGAATTTAATTGCTGGAGATTCGGTGGAGAGCGCACAGGGTGAGGCGGGCAGTTAGAATGAACACAAATGCTCAAGGGGAGGCGGGCAGTTAGAACTCTCAGAGAACTCTCAGAGGGCACAGCGTGGGGTACAGGCTTCCACGGCAGAGATGTGGGGGGGGGGGGGGGGCGGGAGAGGTGCAGATGAATGATCCTGGGTGGGGTTGGCGGAGAAGGACCCCAGCCGCTTCTCGCTTCTCAATTGTACTCAGACGCCGCAACCTCCCGGGGGCGGGGCAGAGGGAAGGAGGGAACAGGCTCCGCAGCCTGTGAGCGCGTGTACTTACTGACTGGGGAAGCAGGTGGGGGTGGGGGAGGGTGGGGTCGCCCAGCGGCTTGAGTTTCTGGCTCCTGCAGTGGCGGTGGCCAGTGGCGGTGGCAGCCCTCGGGCGGAAGAGGGGGGAGGGTCAGCAGATAGAGGAGAAGGCATCACCGAAGGGGGGTAGCAGAGGGAGGAGGAGAGGGGGCGGCACAGCACCAACCCCAGCCTGGTGGACCACTTCCCAACGGCGGCGAAGTGGGCAGATGGACCACCCAAGGACGAGGGCGCAGCGCACGTGGCGGCGCCATGGAGGGGCGCGGGGCATCCGACTCCCCCACACACACACGGCACACGAACCCACACACACACACACACCACACACACCGCGGGCTCAGCGGCACGCAGTGCGGCCACAGCCTGGGGGGGAGGAGGGAGGACAGGGCGAGGAGAAGAGGCGGAAGGGGCTTTGGGGGAAGGGACGGGGATGCAGAGAGAGAGAGAGGGAGAGAGAGAGAGAGAGAGAGAGACTTGGGCACATTTCCCGGGTTGCTAGCAGAAATTACTGAGATCTGTACGAATGGTAAAGTCAAGGTCCCATTTTCATACTGAGGCCATGCTATGTTACAGATGCAAGTCTGGGGCAGGCCTAGTGTTTAGCCAGGTTGGCGGGCAGGCACCCTAGAAGTGTGCTCATATCAGGTTTGGAATTTGGATTCCCCATGCTCGATACCTGTGGCCTGTAGAGGGGGCCAAGGCCAGCATCCCAGCGGTTTGACCCAGGCTACAGTCGGACGGAGGGACCGGGGAAGGTAGAGATGTCTCTGCTACCTTCCGAGGTCTGGAGGAGCCCTTCCTGGAAGGCTCTGGAAAGGCAATCTCTGATGTGGCCGCGTTTTAGGGACAGAGACGCCGGCAGGCAGGCGGCCACAAGGGACTGGCACGGGGGTGGGGCGGGACTCACCGCTAATGCTGCCAAACCAGGAAAGGCTGCTGAGCTGAAGAAATGCGGTCATGAGGGGTCCAGAGCCATGAGAAGGGAAAGGCGGGCACCCCGAGCCGTGGAGGTACCACCAAATGGGGTGCTCACGCCTCCTGGGTTTCGGCACCAAATGTTACTTGTCTCAGGCGGTGGCGCAGAGTATAAGGAGAACCAAGCCGGTCAGAGAATAGGAAAGGAGAAAGTTTTATTCTGCGTCCCCGGGCGAAACTCACGAGCCCAAAAGCAGAGCCAGTGAATTTGCGCCAACAGGGAGGGGGGTGCTTTGTTTTATACTGTGGTTAGGTGAGGGGCAGGGGCATGAACTGAGGAATTTCCTGCCACAGGGGATCAGCCGGGTATTCAGGAAGGAGTCAGTATCTGTGTGGGGGTCGTTGTGGATACCAGGGAGGAGCCGGTATCTTGTCTAGCAGACTGATCTGTTAGAAATTCCAGGGAGGGTCCATTATCTCATCACACGTCTGCATGCATCTGATCCTGGGCTCCCTCCGACCTAACAGTTTCAAATCCAGAATCTCAGATCCTAACATCATTATTTTCTTTTTTTTTAATTGTTTTATTGCTTAAAGTATTACAAAGAGTATTATATATGTCTCCTTGTTTTTTCTCCCCTTGACCCTCCCCTAGCCTCCCATGCCCCCCAGTGTCTTGTGTCCATTGGTTACGCTCGTATGCATGCATACAGGTCCTTTGGTTGATCTCTTACTCCCCCCCACCCCCAACCCTCCCCAGCCTTTCCGCTGTAGTTTGACAGTCTGTTCGATGTTGCTCTGCCTCTATCTATTTTTGCTCATCAGTTTATAATGCTCTTAATTATCCATGAATGAGTGAGATCATGTGATATTTTTCTTTCATTGACTGGCTTATTTCACTTAGCATAATGCTCTCCAGTTCCATCCATGCTGTCACAAATGGTAAGAATTCATTCTTTTTTACAGCAGCATAGTATTTCATTGTGTAGATAACACAGCTTTCTAATCCATTCATCTGCTAATGGGCACTTAGGCTGTTTCCAGATCTTAGCTATGGTGACTTGTGGTGCTATGAACATAGGGGTGCATATATCCTTTCTGACTGGTGTTTCTGATTTCTTGGGATATATTCCTAGAAGTGGGATCACTGGGTCAAATGGGAGTTCCATTTTTAACTTTTTGAAGAAACTCCATGCTGTCTTCCATAGTGGCCGCACCAGTCTGCATTCCCACCATCAGTGCACGAGTGTTCCTTTTTCTCCACATCCTCTCTAGCACTTGCCGTTTGTTGATTTGTTGATGATAGCCATTTTGACAGGTATGAGATGGTACCTCATTGTTGTTTTGATTTGCATTTCTTGGATGATTAGTGATTTTGAGCATGTTTTCTTTTCTTTCTTTTTTTTTATTTATTATGCTTTATACAGATTCTATCATCACACCACTAATCTAAGTTCCAGAAGTTTAATATTACACAGAGACTTCAGGACCATCTAGGAGTCTTTGGCTCCATTTATCAGAGGAAGGAACACAGTAGATCATTTGATCTCTCTCGGCCTCAGTTTTGTCATCTGGAAAAGGAGCCTAAGACCATTTCCTTTTCTAACCTCCAGGACTATTGTAAAGACCAAAAACAACTATGTAAAACAATTAATCAACTGTGAGCATTTACATATTATTTTTCACACTCACCCAAACATGTTTAAGAACCCCACAGAAAACACCTTGTATTAGGCTCACATATAAAAATATGTATAGATATTCATGTGTATGTTTATTCATAGTTAAATCTGAAAATCATCCCTGTCCCTCCCTTTACTAGTTGAGGCAATCTCACAGTAGGCATACTCTCCCCACAAACACAAACAAATACAAGGGATTTTGCAATTAAAAGCAGAAACACTGTTTTGCGACCTGAATTGTTTTCATTTTTGGAGACAGAACAAAAGGTGATGAGAAGACAGGAAGTTTAAGAAGGGCTGGTGGGTGGTAGAGACAGGCAGAAGCATATAGAAACCCTAAAAAAGGCAAGCAGAGGGAAGAAAATGTAGATAGAAACTAAGATTCCAAAAAAATAGCTGCCTTACATCCAGTTCCGCCATTCTGTACAGACCCATCTTCCTCTTCTTGTTTTATGTCCTCCGATCAGTTCTTCCCCATAACCTGGAGAAAGGGAATCCTTTCTGCTTTTTGGTAGGCTTCAGAACTAAGTTACAGGCCAGCATCCAGGATGTGGATCAGGAACCGACAGACCAGTTCTGTTCAGTTGTCGGAGTCTCCTCCTACTGTCCCCTCGGCAACTGACAGAGGATGAGGCTGCCCACAGAAATAGCAGGTAGCAGGGGCGTGGCCCTGACTGACTAGAGCTGAGTACAAAGAACCTGATGGATTGACTGAGAGTCAGTATTTGGCAGCTGGGGGCCTGGAGCCCCTCCAAACCGTCTCCAGACTTTGATGATGAAGCACCAGTTATATCTCTCCCAACTCGCCTTCCATCACCCGCACCATGACATACAGCTCAGCCAGACCCACCACAGAGGCGACGATCACTGCAGCCAGTATCCGCGAGGCCATTTCTGTGAAGATGTACTGGCTTCCAAGGTAAGTGCAGACAAAGGCGGCTGCCACCGTGACAATGAAGTTGAAGATGGTGATGACCACAGCCTTCACTGACCTCACTTCCTTGCCCAGGTCACTTAGAATCCCACCATGCCTTGAATCCTGACAGGTGACATTGCGGGTGATCCGCTTATATTCGTCATTGGCCAGCTCTATCTTAATTTTCTCCAGACGGGCAACTAGCTCTGGGTTCCTAGGAGGCTTCACCACCTCTGGGAGATAGATTTCACTGCCTTCTAGGAGCTCATGAAGGTACAGTGTGGAATCCCGTTCTCTCAGGTGCTGGTGCAGGTCCCGGACCAGGCAGAAGGGAACCAGGCGTGCGGGACCCCGGGGGGCGGTCGCCGCCCTTGTGCTGCTTCTCCACGGCGGCCTCCAGCTCCGCGAGCAGCTTGCGGGGAAGCTGCTCGGGCTCCAGCTCCCCGCCGGGGGCCAAGGCGCGCACCAGCCGCTCGCCGGCAATCAAGTAAGACGCCATTTCTGGCCCCGAGCATGTTTTCATATGTCTCTTGGCTTTCTGAATGTCCTCTTTTGAAAAGTGTCTATTTAGGTCCTTTGCCCATTTTTTTAAAATAAATCTTTATTATTCAGATTATTACAGTTCCCCTTTTCCCCCCCATAGTTCCCCTCCACCCAGTTCCCACCCCACCCTCTGCCCTTACTCCCCCCCCCCCCCCCCCCACCGTCCTCATCCATCTGTACGCTCTCTGTTGCCAGGTCATACACATGGAAAATGTAGCTATTTCCATCTGCGACGTGTCCCTGTGTTCGGCCACACAGAGACCGTCTCAGCCTCACAGGGGCCATCACAGCCTCACAGGGACCGTCTCAGCCTCACAGGGACCGTCCAGTCTCACAGGGACCGTTTCAGCCTCACCGGAACCGTCTCAGCCTCACAGGGGCCATCTCAGCCTCACAGGGGCCATCTCAGCCTCAGGGACCGTCTCAGCCTTGCAGAGGCCATCTCAGACTCGAAGGGGGCGCCACATCCCACGTTGGGGGTGAAGGTGCGAGACAGAAGCTCCTCTCGCTGTCTCTCCTGCTGCTCCCTTGCATATCACCGGTGTTGGAAGTTTCTGAGAGCAGTCTGCAGGTGCTGGACATCATACTTTAACTGGTCAACACGAAGTTTGGTATTCTGTCTTTTGTTGGGCAGCTCCTTGCTGGACAAAATCTCCAGGTGTTCTTGCTGGCTGAATATCTGGTATGCTTGCTTGGATTTCCTTTTCTACTAAGTGCACAGACTGCTTGTTTGCCGTCTCCCAGCGTCCCATGTGAGACTGGATCTGGTGGACCTGTTTGTGCGTTTGCTCGTACAGCGGTTCCATGTTGCCAGCCCAGCCGGGTCCAGTTCCAGCTTCCTCCGAACCTGATTCTGCTTCTTGAGTGTGTCCCTTATAGATGCAAGGAGTTGAAATCTGCAGTTTGTTGGGTTAAGCTGCAAAAGCACATGTGGTTCCTTTTGTGCCACTGGCACATCTTGGGCGGTGATGTAAATTGAGTAGGGTGGGGTCTCAGGGAGTCACCAGGGTGGAGCAAACAGCAATGGCGTCTCCGTGATTCCTCGCCTCTCCATGACCCCACGTATTCACGTCCCCGAGTGCCGGCGAGCAGCTCCGCGAGAAAGCTGCCCTCGCTTTCCGACCCACTGCAAGGCCGTCCTGCCTCTCGCCGTAGGGGTCTGGGACCTCAGAATACCGCCCCAAACAAGCTCAGTGGATTCGAGACTTTGTAACCCCTTTCAATTGAAAAAAACTGCACATCCAGTTGCATCCCGCCTGGCACGCGACTCCATACCTCTGTTCTTGGCGCCTCTGCATATCCTACTCAGTCTCAATGCTCTTCTTTCTTTCCTTCCAGTTGTAGAACTTCCACTGGGCCAGCTTTCCCATGGTTCTTAATGATAGCTGTTTTGTCTTATAGTTGGTATTTTCAGTGTTGTTGTGGGAGGCAGCACGCACAGGTCTATACCTCACGCAGCCATCTTGGTTCTCCCCTTTGCCCATTCTTTGATTGGATTGTTTATCTTCCTTTTGTTGAGTTGTATGAGTTCCCTATAAATGTTGGAGATTAAACCCTTATTGGTGATAACATTGGCAAATATGTTCTCCCATGCAGTGGGCTTTCTTGTTGTTTTGTTGGTGGTTTCTTTCGCTGTGCAGAAGCTTTTTATTTTAATGTAGTCCGATTTGTTTATTTTCTCTTTAGTTTCCAATGCTTTAGGAGCTGAATCAGTGAAGAAATTGCTTCGGCATGTCTGAGATTTTGTTGCCTTTGGATTCTTCTAGTATTTTTATGGTTTCCCGTCATACATTTAAGTCATTTATCCATTTTGAATTTGTTTTTCTGTATGGTTTAAGTTGGTGGTCTAGTTTCATTTTTTTGCATGTATCTGTCCAATTTTCCCAACACATTTATTGAAGAGACTGTCTTGACTCCACTGTATGTTCCTGCTTCCTTTGTCGAATACTAATTGAGCATATTGGTTCGGGCCAATTTCTGGGCTCTCTATTCTATTCCATTGATCTATATGTCTGTTCTTGTGCCAGTACCAGGCAGTTTTGAGAACAGTGGCTTTGTAATACAGCTTGATATCTGGTATTGAGATCCCACCTACTTTGCTCTTTCTCAGGATCGCTGCAGCTATTCGGGGTCGTTTTTTATTCCAGATGAACTTTTGGAGGGTCAGTTCTAGGCCTGTGAAATATGCCATTGGTATTTTAATGGGAAGTGCATTGAATTTATAGATTGCTTTGGGTAGTATGGACATTTTAATGATGTTGATTCTACCAATCCATGAACATGGTATGTTCTTCCATCTGTTTATGTCTTCCTCTATCTCTTTTTTTGAACGTCCTGTAGTTTTCTGAGTAGAGGTCTTTTACCTCTTTAGTTAAGTTTATTCCTAAGTAGCTTAATTTTTTTGGTGCGATGGTAAATGGGATTGCTTTTTTAGTCTCTTTTTCTGTAAGTTCACTATTGGTGTATAGAAATGCCATAGATTTCTTGGCATTAATTTCGTATCCTGCTACATTCCAAATTCATTTTAAGTCTAATAGTTTTTTGATGGAGTCTTTAGGGTTTTTATGTACAATATCATGTCATCTGTGAATAAGGACAGTTTTACTTCTTCTTTTCCAATTTGGATGCCCTTTATTTCTTCTTCTTGTCTAATTGCAATGGCTAATACTTCCAGTACTATGTCGAACAGGAGTGGTGAGAGTGGGCATCCCTGTCTTGTTCCTGTTCTTAGGGGAAATGGCTTTAGTTTTTGTCTATTGAGTATGATGTTGACTGTGGGTTTGTCATATATGGCTGCCGGAAGCCGGTCCATCCTTGCTGCTTGACACAGTCGCTGCAGGAAAGAAACATCTGCACAGCATATGTTTCAAGGGACCTGGCGTATATAGCATACTGTTCTTAATATGTTTGTCCCCTTAGCGCTGTGTGTTTTAACCAAGGTCACCTCTCCGAGAAAGGTTGTTTCCCCAGGTAGGAATTTTTCCCTGAAGTCAGGGAGGGGATGCCTCTCCTAGAAAGGTTGTTTCCCCAGGTAGGAATTTTTCCCTGAAGTCAGGGAGGGGATGAAACTCCTTAACTAAGTGCCAGGTAGGTAGTTAATCACTACAAACAATCATGCTTAAGCTACATAATCTTTACTCCCTGGAATGGAGATAAGAAACGCCCTAACCTTTGTAATAGAAATTGACAGGATTAAAATCAACTGGGATAAATACGGATGTAACAAGACAATAAACAGCAGAACTTCGCTGGAGATCCAGACCAGAACTTGGCTGGAGATCCTGGCTAGAGATCCTGGCTAGGCTGCTGATCAACTGAACGCTGTCTCTGTGTCATTCCTTCTTCGCCGACTCCATCCACACCTTTGGGGACCTCTGGACCTGCTGGGGTTGGACTCCGGCATATGGCTTTCATTATGTTGAGGTATGATCCTTCAATTCCCACCTTACTGAGAGTTTTTATCAGAAATGGGTGTTGGAATTTGTCAAATGCTTTTTCTGCATCAATTGATATGACCATTTGGCTTTTTTCTTTCAATTTGTTTATGTGATGTATCATGTTTATTGATTTGCGGATACTGTACCATCCTTGCATCCCTGGGATAAATCTTACTTGGTCATGGTGTATGATCTTTCTGATGTACTGCTGGATCCAATTTGCTAAGATTTTGTTGAGGATTTTGGCATCTATGTTCATGAGGAATAGTGGCCTGTAATTCTTTTCATTGTGTTGTCTTTCCATGGTTTTGGTATTAAGGTGATGCTGGCTTCATAGAATGAGCTTGGAAGTGTTCCTTCCTCTTGGATTTTTTGTAGTAGCCTGAGGAGGATAGGTTGTAGTTCTTTCTTGAATGTTTGGTAAAACTCCCCTGTGAAACTGTCTGGCCCTGGGCTTTTGTTTGCTGGAAGTTTTTTGATGACTGCTTCAATTTCTTCCACAGTTATTGGCCTATTGAGATTTTTAGATTCTTCCTGATTGAGTTTTGGAATGTTGTATTTTTCTAGGAATATGTTCATTTCCTCCAGGTTGTCTAGTTTGTTGGAGTAGAGTTGTCCATAGTATTTTTTAATAATCATTTGTGTTTCTGTGGGGTCTGTTGTTATTTTGCCTCTATCATTTCTGATTTTGTTTATTTGGGTCCTCTGTCTTTGCTTCTTGGTGAGCCTGGCTAGAGGTTCATAAATCTTGTTTATCCTTTCAAAGAACCAGCTCTTGGTTTCATTGATTTTATGTACTGGTTTTTTGTGGGGTTTTTTTGGTCTCTATGTCATTTATTTCTGCCCTGATCTTTATTATCTCCTTCCTTCTGCTCACTCTGGGGTTTTCTTGTTGCTCTCTTTCTAATTCTTTGAGATGTAGAGTTAGATGATTTACTACCATTTTTTCTTGTTTTTTGAGGTAGGCCTGTAGGCTGTAAACTTCCCTCTCAGGACTGCTTTCATTGTGTCTCATAAGTTTTGGATTGTTGTGTTTTCACTGTAACTAGTTTCCAGGATATTTTAATTTCTTCTTTGATCTCATTAGTAACCCAATCAATATTTCATAACATGCTATTCAGCTTCCAAGTGTTTGAGTATTTTGGGGGTTGTTTTTATTGTAGTTTATTTCTAATATTATGGCATTGTGATCTGAGAAGATGCTTGGTAAGATTTCAATCTTCTTGAATTTAGGGAGACTTTGCTGGTGACCCAATATGTGGTCTATTTTTGAAAATGTCCCATGTGCACTTGAGAAGAACGTATATTCTGCGGCTTTGGGTTGAAATGTTCTGAAGATGTCAATTAAGTCCATATGATCTAGTGAGTCATTTAGGATTGCTGTTTCTTTGCTGATTGTTTTTCTAGAGGATTTATCCAGTGATGTCAGTGGTGTATTAAAGTCCCCTACTATGATGGTATTGTTGTCAATCTCTCCCTTGATATCTTCCAGGAGTTTTTTTTATGTATTTGGGTGCTCCTGCATTGGGTGCATATATGTTTATCAGGGTTATATCTTCTTGTTGTATTGATCCCTTTAGTATTATGAAGTGGCCTTCCTTATTTCTTGTTATGGCCTTCACTTTGATGTCTATTTCGTCTGATATAAGTATTGCTACCCCAGCTTTATTTTTCGTTTCCATTTTCCTGAAAGATATTTTTCCATCCCTTCACTTTCAGTCTGTGTGAGTCCCTTATTCTGAGGTGGGTCTCTTGTAGACAGCAAATATATGGGTCATATTGTTTTATCCATTCAGCCACTTGATGTATTTTGATTGGAGCATTTAGTCCATTTACATTTAAAGTTACTATTGAAAGGTACTTGTTTGTAGCCATTTCTATATTTTTTGCTTGTTTTCTTTCTTAGCTTTTTATTTCTTCTTTTTTACACCATTCCCTTTAGCATTTCTTGCATTGCTGGCTTGGTGGTGATAAACTCCCTTAACCTTTTTTTGCCTGTGAAGCTTCTTATTTCCCCTTCAATTTTGAATGATAGCCTTGCTGGATAGAGTATTCTTGGATTCAGTCCTTTGCTTTGCATCACTTCGTAAATTTCTGTCCATTCTTTTCTGGCCTGATGTGTTTCTGTTGAGAAATCATTTGATAATCTAATGAGAGATCCCTTGTATGTAACTTTCAGTCTCTCTCTTGCAGCCTGTAATATTCTCTCTTTGTCCTGAATGTTTGCCATGGTAATTATGATGTGTCTTGGCATAGGTCTTTTTGGGTTCATCTTGTTTGGGACTCTCTGTGCTTGTGTGACTTTTTTCTTCCCCACTTCAGGGAAGTTTTCTGATATTATTTCTTCAAATAGGTTTACTAACCCTAGTTCCTCTTTTTGTTGTTCTGACAACCCTATTAATCGTACGTTGTTTTCTTTCATGTTGTCCCATAGTTCCCTTAGGCTCTTCCTGTCTTTTAATTTTTTTCTCCAATTGTATTTCAGTTTGGGTGTGTTTTGTTTCCCTGTCTTCTAATTCGCTAATTTGGTCTTCTGCTTTTCCTAGTCTATTGTTGAAACTTTCAATGTTGTTTTTTATTGCTTCTATATCACTCTTCATTTCTTCTTGGTTCTTACATAAGTTATTGACTTTTTCATCCATTTCTTTTTGATTCTTAGATAAGTTGTTGATTTTTTCATCTGTTTCTTCTTGATTCTTGCATACGTTGTTGATTTTTTCCTCCATCCTGTTTATGCACTCTAGGACCCTTAATCTGAATTCTTTTTCTGACATGTTGCATGCCTCTGTTTCACTTAGCTGCTTTTCTGGCGAGTCTTCCTCTTCTTTCCTTTGGGGGTTTCTTTGTCTACCCATGTTTTATCTCACCAACAGATCTAGTTGTTGAGCCGTTCAGGGGCTGCTCCTTGTGTGGTTGTGGCTCCTCGGGCTGCAGTTGCTCCTTGGGCGGTTGTGGTAGCAGTTGCTCCTCAGTTGTCAGTAGCTCTTCTGGTGGGTGCTTTTCACGGCCATGGTGGCTCCTCTGGCTGCTGCAGGGAGGCTTCTCACACAGCTGCTGTTTCTCAGACAGAGGGTGTGCTGATCACGAGGCTGCTGTTCCTTGGATGGGGGTGGGCTACACACGCATCTGCTACTCCTTGAACTGGGGTGGACTGCTCATGTGGCTGCTGTTCCTTGAATGGGGGCTGGCTTCACGTTGCTGTTGTTCCTCTGATGTGGTGGGCTGCTTGTGGGGCTACTGCTTCTTGGACTTGGACAGGTTGATTGCAAGTCTGCTGCTCATTGGATGGGTGTGGGCTGCTTGCACAGCTGCTGCTCTTTGGACGGTAGTGAGCTGTACGCATCGCTGATCCTCCTCTCCAGGTATCTGGTTATGTGGCTTGCTCTCTAGCACTTTAGCCAGACAGGATAAAATTCACCTTAACAAGATATGACTCAAGGGGAACGAAGCATGAATGTACTCACGACACTGATAACCCCAATATAAGTGACCACCTGAGAAAAGAGAATTAGGGGAGAGAAAAGAGAGTACAAATGATATCTAAGAGAGAGAGAGAGAGAAAAGAAAAAAAAGATAGGAGAGAAATGAAAAAGGAGAATATATATATACATATATATATATATACATATCTACACTAATAAAAGAGAAACATGGTAATTAGTGTCACTCCGCTACCCTTCCCATTGGCTAATCCCCCTGTCACTCAGAGAGTAGGGCCGAGATATGCAAATTAACTGGCAGCCAAGATGGCGGCCGGCAGCCAGGCAGCTGATGCGAACAGGGAGGCTTGCTTGCTTCAGTGACGGAGAACTCCAACGTTCCCCACCTGACTTGCCGGCCTCTCAGCTGCAACTCTAAGCAACTATGTTGCGAATAAAGAAGCTAAAAAAAACCCAGAAACCTGCTTTACTCAGCGGAGCTTCAGCCAGCCGGACCGCAACATTGTACCAAATACAGATGGTAAACAAAGGGCAGAAACCTGTTTTCAGCAGCTGAGGCCTCAGAGCTAAATCTGGCAAAGAATAAAAAAGTAAAAAAAGAGTGGTTGGGAGTTTCAGTCCCAGCCTGAAAACAGCCCTCAGCCCCTCAGCCAGACTGGCCAGGCACCCCAGTGGGGACCCCCACCCTGAAGGGTGTGTGGCCAGCTGCAAACAGCCATCATCCCCTCACCCAGGCTGGCCAGGCACCCCAGTGGGGACCCTCACGCTGATCCAGGACACCCTTCAGGGCAAACCAGCCAGCCGCACCCATGCACCAGGCCTCTATTCTATATAGTAAAAGGGTAATATGCCTCCCAGCACTGGGATCAGCGGAGCTGAGAGGCCTCCCGGCACCGGGATCAGCGTGACAGGGGGCAGTGCCCAAACCCCCTGATCGCCCTGCAGCTCTTTGTGTGACAGGGTGCGGCGCCCCAACCCCGAGTGTGACAGTGGCGGTGCCCCAACCACCTGATCGGCCCTACTCTGTGGGTGATAGAGGGCGGCGCCCCAACCCCCCCCCCCCCCCCGACGGGCCCTTCTCTGTGTGTGATGGGGTAGAGTCATAACCTCCCCATTCGCCCTGCCCTGAGTGTGACAGTGGCGCCGCCCCAACCCCCTGATCGGCCCTGCTCTGTGGGTGATAGAGGGCGGTGCCCCAACTCCCCTATCGGCCCTACTCTGTGAGTGACAGGGGGGAGCTCCTCAACCCCCTGTTCGGCCCTGCTCTGTGCATGACAGGGGGGAGCTCCCCAACCCCCTGATTGACCCTGCTCTATGCATGACAGGGTATGGAGCCCCAACCCCCCTGATGGGCCATGCTCTGTGCATGACAGGGGGTGGCACCGCAACCTCCCCATCGACCCTGCCTTGAGTGTGACAGGGGGCGGTGCCCCAACCCCCCAATCGGCCCTACCCTGAGCGTGACTGAGGGTGGCATCGCAACCTCCCAATTTGCCCTGCTCTGTGCATGACAGGGGAAGGTGCCCCAACTCCCCAATCAGCCCTGCTCTGAGCCCGACCAGGGGCTGCACCTAGGGATTGGGCCTGCCCTCTGCCACCCGGGAGCAGGCCTAAGCCAGCAGGTCGTTATCTCCCGAGGGGTCCCAGACTGCAAGAGGGCACAGGCTGGTCTGAGGGACCCCCCCTCCCCCCGAGTGCACAAATTTTTGTGCACCGGGCCTCTAGTATATGGAGAAAACACCACAGAACCAATAGATAAACCAAATAAATACAAACACCCAGTAAAGAGGGTTTCATTATTCTCAGTCTTTGAATAAAAGATTGATTTTTTAAATGACCTGTCCCTACAACACAGTCAATGGTGAACATTTCAAGTTGCAAAAAACAAAGTGGACACATTGAGAAAAACTGTGGTCCTATTATCGATTTCAAGTACTATCAACACACATTCCCGCCATTTATGTGCCACCAAAGTTCATGGACAAAGTGTAAAATGTGGTTTAGATTGGATGAATTACAACTAAGAGCATTAAGACAATTTCCGATTTAAGAAACTATAATTCTAAGAATATAATTATCAATTTCATAAGTCTTTATCTCCTCATTCATGTACACAGCTGCTGCCACTGGCTGAAAACAGAACATTCCCAGAAAACTTCCCCTGAGCCAAGATGTTTTAAAGCAAAAATCAACAACCTCATTCACACCATGCTCACAGATACACAGCAGCCATGGAGATAAAGTACAGATGCTAACAGACACATTCAAAACTAGTGCGGCCTGAAGCTGAGATGCTGAGTCTGCTCTTTCAGGAAAAAGCTTGAAGGGGCCATTCTTGCTCCTGGCGGTTTCATTGCCTCTATAATGGGCCCTGCAAAGTAAACACTGGATGTGATTTTCAATTTTGCCTTTTTTTTCTTAAAA